GCTACTAGGGGCTCCTGGCATCGCTACTAGTAACAAGAAGCTACTAGGAACAAGTGCATCGCTTCTAGTAACAAGTGCCTTACTAGTAGTAACAAGAAGCTTTAATTTTAATAGCAAACATTGTTACTACTAGTAAGGCACTTGTTACTAGTAGCGTGGCACTTGTTGCTTCTCCTCGGTTCGCCATTAAAGCTGAGAAGCGACCTAATAGCTGCCTCCAACCGATACTGCAACATATGACTGTGCAGCTTGGCCTAAGGTTAGATCCAGACGAAGCTTTGAATTTGGAGCTCTTTGAACAGGTGAGCCCTTTCCATGTGGAGCTGTGAGCTGTGAGCTGTGAGCGTCGTGCCGTGGGCTTGAGGTTCTTTGGATCCGAACCGGCTTTGATTTGCTTCAAACATGGGCCGAGCATCTCAGATGGCAAAAGCAAAGGGAAACCGCATAAAAACTGCTATTAGGAGCAAAGGGCATCGCTACTAGGAACAAGGACGCCACTAGGGGCTCCTGGCCTTACTACTAGGAGCAAGGACGCTACTGAGCAAAGGGCATCGCTTTGCGTCTTTGCAATTGGTCGAGGGAACGCTGGATCCTCACAATCAGACTGTCCCAGACTCAGAAGATTCTACCTTTCTTTGAAATATGTGCTCCATCTCCTTAAAAGCTAGTGGGTTGGAGGCCATTGCTACTAGAAACAAAGAAAAAAGAAAAGGATGCCTTTTTTCTACTTTTCTTTGACCAACTAAGTCCCGTTGTGCGCGGATTTGTGGGTCTGGCCAACCTGCGGGGACCAAGGTGCTGACTTTGCCGGAATTTGTTCGCGGATGCAGGCCCATTTAGCAGACGAGGTTTTGCATTTTGGACGAGTTGCTCATTTGCCAAACACTTGTTGAACATGGATGACATGAATAACATAATCTTAGAACTTAGAGTGAGTCTTGACTGGTTTGACTTACTTCTTTTTAGTAATTCATTTCATTTTTCTTGCCTTTTACTTTTCTTTCACCTTTTTTTTAAGATCATTTCGGTTTTGATTTGTGGTTCCTTTTTGGTTTCTCAGCAAGCTTTCAGGGCGCTGGGTTTCGAGGGCGATGCTCATCATCTTTTCAAGGGCCAAGCACTCGACTGCATGGTGTGCAGGTGTACTAATATTTTGGAACATATCAAGAATATTCAATAATGCATCAGGTGTTTGTTTTTGTTGTTTCAATTCTCTTTAAACAATGAACAAGGAAAGAAACCACACGGGGGAGAAGGGAACACACAAAATAATGGTATCAAGGGCTCATGTCATTTCTTTTCTTTTCATTAAAAAGCAACATCGTGAGGGGGACTTTATATAGTTGCACTCTAGAATGGTCATGTCCAGGCGCAGACTTTTCAAGATCCAAACAGGAGTAATCTTGGAGACTGGTCAAACCTCAGACGCGAGAAGTCTTGGCACAAGCAAGTCTTGTTCCTAGTAGCGATTCACTTGTTCCTAGTAGCTAGTCAGTAAGCAGCTGGGAAGCTCAGCTAGGGATCAAGAAATCAAATAATGTGAGGCCATGAAGGATTCGGGCAGGGCCGCAGGGACAGCCTTGCACTGCAGATTTGCCGACAGTGCTATGGCGGCCAACGAGAGTGACAATGTTGTCACAACAAACAAGCTGATGATCATCCTCAGAAAATTTGACCAGGACATTTGTAGTATGCTGTACTGCTTTTTTGGCCAGACTTATTGGCCATTGTAACAGCTTGCAGATGTTTTTTTGGACTGAAAAATCAGCCATGAACGATTCACTTGTGAGACCAGAAGGCATGCCGTATAGCGACCAGCATTGCATGTTCCATGTTTGCCGATTTTTTAAATGTTTGATCCCTCAGCCAGAAATGAAACTACAAGAAATGGAGGTGTGACATGTAGATGTAGGACGCTACTAGGAGCTCCTGGCCTTACTAGGAACAAGGATGCTACTAGACGCGAGGCAAGCTGTTAGACGTGAAGATGTGAAAACGTGATTGTTTCTACCTCTCACCGCCTCTCACCTCTCTTGAATCCTTTCAAACACCTTTTCTTTGGCGAACCTGGTATTGTGTTCAGGAGGGTTCGGGCACGATTTCCAGAAGTCAATTCGAACAGATTCTGCGCACTGTTCTTCGTGCGTCCAGCAATTCTGATGAGATTCTGTACAAAGAAGAGGTGGCCTAGGAGCAAGAAGCTACTAGGGGCTCCTGGCATCGCTACTAGGAGCAAGGACGCTACTAGGGGCTCCTGGCCTTACTACTAGGAGCAATGTTCGCTACTAGTAACAAGGACGCTATTATTGTGAGAGAGAGAGCTGCTGAGGTGGACGAGTTCTGGGCATACTTTTCAAAGCGTGAGGATGGCGACGTTGAGAAAAGTGATTTAGTCGATTGGATCTTGAAACCCAGCACGCCTCTGATGCTTACAGAGTCCGGGAATTTGGCCTTCTTTGACCTCAAATCTGCACTTCAACCTCTTTTCCAGGTGCAGAGCTGTCCTGTGCCTAAAGCTAAAATCATCACAAATCTCATCAAATCTAGCCTTCTGCAATGCTGCTGTTCTTGTGTTGGGCAGGCTTACAACCAGAACGGGGACGGCTTCATCTGCTTGCAGGAGTTCATGGATGCACATGGCATTCTTCAAATCGCATTGCGTATGAACCCCACAGCAGAAGAAGAAGATCCTCCAGTTTTACGAGGAGATCTTCACAACTGTTTTGTGCACATTGGTGATGCTGAAACATAGCTGAGCCTGCTCAACACTGCTGATATTTTTGTTATTTTTCTTTGGACAACATGACATTTCTTTCAATCAACCGCAATGGTTTGCATTCTGTTGCGTGATATTCTCAATCGTAGCTTGTACTTGCTGTTCAACCTGTCTTTGTGATGTTCTCAAACATATCCTTGGTCACTCTAAGGACAAGCGCTTGACGTTTGAGAAATTTGTTCGCTGGCAACGCCTTGCGTTGATTCAATCTGCCTTGTCTCCAGACTCAATGACGAGGCACAGTGGCCACAAAAAGATTTAGTGAGAACATATGAAATTAGAATTATGTAACAATTTTCCTGATTCAAATATAGTGGAGGCCATCGCTAGGAGGTTGGAGGCCGTTGCTACTAGGGTAGAGGCCATCGCTACTAGGTTCCTTTTGCCAGTAGGTTGGAGGCCATGGCTAGTAGGTTGCCCCTCAGCCTGGGCAAAGTCCAATGTTGCCTGCAGAAGAGTTTTTGAGCAGTGCAGAAAAACGTGAAACCGTGACAAGCAAACGTAGATTCTTTACTGTAGCAGAATGACTAAAGGCCACAAAGAGATATTGGGAAAGCGGGGAAGCGAGATTGAATGCAAGGTAGTGAGGAAAGTAGATCAACAATACAGGAGAGAAGCAGCCAGCCTCTGCGCAGGTGCTTCAAACCTGTATGGGATTTTGGGGAAGCCAATTGAATGCTCCAAACCGATACACGAAACACATCTCTTTTGACCAAACGACACAAAGGAGGGCTTCTTACGCAAGATTTCATGTCGCCGACCACTAGAACAGACCTCCGGCCCTGACTTTCATCTCGAACTCATTTTGCCGAAGCTGCATGCTTTTTGCGAGCACTTTGCCCGAGCATTTTGCGCATCCTGCACACATGCTGCCCCCTTTTTTTGTGGCACCCTTCGCATGCGTTCAAAGTGTGGTTTTGCCTGTGACTCTTCGAGGCTCTCTTTCTGCATTTCTTTGGGGGCTCCTGGCATTATTAGTAGCAAGAAGCTATTAGTAAGAAGAGCAAAGCACCTTACTACTGGAAGCAGGTGTGGGCAGTGCAACCTGCAACTTGCAACCCGCAGTTCTCGATATCTCTTGACCAAACCGGCCTTGCAAACAGACGTGCACGGCTTCAGTTGGTGAAGGAATCCTCCGAAGAAACTGGACTTGTTTGTTTTATAGGACTCTTGGAGCTTTCAAGGTGCCTGGGAGCCTAGCCATAGTCCAGAAGCGGCTCTCTTCTCAAGTGTGCCAGCAGTTGTGTTTTCAATTTTTGGTTGCTGCAGCAACCTGTGTGAAAGTGCGCGAGGCTCCTCAAGAATGTGGCCAAACAAATTCAACGCGACCCTCCTGCAGACATTGTCAAAGAAACAAGTTAGTTTTTGAATTTTGAGGTGTTTATATCTTCGGCTTTACATGAAGTATTCTTCAGCAAGAATGCCTTGGATAACGAATGCATTCGGCATTTTCTGATGTTTGGGTTTTGATCTCAGGTGTCTTTAAGCTTACTTCCGAGAAGCATTGTGAGCTGACCGAGTCAGACAGGTTGGTGCTAATTCGGTTCCTGAGCCGATTTTGGGTGAAACTTTGTTCAGCAATCCGGGCTCTTCAAGGTTAAGTGTCCCTAATCAAGGAACCAAGTCATTAGTGCGAGCTATCCTGCGCTACCTAGCTACATCTAGCTACCTACCTCTACTAGCGGCCTACCCCCCCTTTGAAAAATGAAGATGTTTTTTCAGCCCAGGATCCTTTCGCACTTAGCCCAATTCAGCCGTGAGCTGTGGGGAGCTGGTCATTTTGCATCGAAGGGCAAGACCTTCTTCGAAAATAAGTGGATACCTCCGTTCGTGGGAATGAATGTTGACCACCTGAAGGACACGTTTTCGATTTTCGGAAGTAGCAAGGATGCTACTAGGGGCGCTCCTGGTCTTAGTAACAAGAAACAAAGTCCACAGTCTTCCATAACAGGTCTCATACCCACTCTGAGAACTATCTCCAAACACTCTCAAGCTATCTCAAACTATACCCAGCTCTAACAGGTGCTTCTCGAAAGGTGCTCCTAGCCACTTCTAGTCACATTCCACCTTCTGGGCATCGCTACTAGGTGGAGGCCATCGCAAGTAGGTTGGAGGCCATTGCTACTAGGAGCAAGGACGCTATTAGTGCTTTTGGAAAGTTGTTGGAGAATTTGTCTTTGGAAACCGTCGAGCTCGGGTTACTGCCAGTGCTTCTCGACAATACCTTGTTCACATTTGTTCACCACTCGCGACAAAACCAGACAACCTTAGTTGACTAAATTTGTTGCAACGATATGGTTCTATTTGAACCGGTGCGGTGTATTTCTGATCCGAAAACTGAGTAAATATGCTGACGATGCCAAACGATCAGACAAACATACACAACATCACTAAAAGCAGCTATTGCTGGGTGTGGGCAACCATTGGTACCCTTTGACTGTGTTCCAAGAGTTTGCTAGGAGGTCTTTTTGCATGATTTCAACTACAGCCGCATGCGATTTTCAGCAAAGATTGTGAAGCGCGACTGGGATATCCTTTGCATTCCTGGACTTCCTGGCCGACACCAAGATTGGCTAGCAAGGGCAAGGCTGAAAAACACCTTGAGAAGTGCCAGATTCGATGATGAACAGGGAAAACAAGAAGAGGATCAGCTTGAGGAAGGACACATACGCGAGGTGGTCGATGAGCAGTGTTACATCTTCGATCGGGAACATTTCACATGGGCCTTAGCAGAAGAGAGTCTCTTTGAGAAGGCACTTGAAGCGGAGCACGTAAACAAGAAAGAAGCGAAAAGACAAACAACCTCCAACCTACTAGCGATGGCCTCCAACCTAGAAGCGATGGCCTCCAACCTACTAGCTATTTGCCACTAGAAAAAACATTGGAAGAAAGGCTTCAAGGAAAGAGAGGCACACGCCAATAGCAGTGGGTGTAGAAGTGAGCCGGTTGTCAGTTGTTTGTGATGTCGACGCAGTCCGTTCACTGAGTTGCGAGCCTGAAACTGTTGTTGCGCACTGGGCCTGTTTGGAAACTATGCTAGTTGATTTATGACGATTTCTGCAAGCATGTTGCCTGCTTGTCTTCTTTGTTTCTCTCAGCACGCAGGGCATGTCGCCGGGTGTACCCCTGCCCATTGCGATTCGTCTCCTCTCACGCTCTTGGATGTGCAGTTTTGTGTATCTCGAAATTGTTTGTGGAAGTGCGTGGGTTGTGAAACACCTTGGTAGGGGTGCGTGATGTGAACTTCGAAGTGCAGATTTTGTGGCAGGCACAAGGCTTGGTCGACGTTCAAATGCATAGGGTAGACCTTGCGTGTGTGGTTTCGTATGACCCGTATGTGCGCTTTCATGCGTGTGCTCTCATGTCTCTCCTTTGTATTTGTTTGTATGCTCTCATTTTTGTGTTTCATGGGTGCTCTCATATTCGTTCCGAAAAAAGGGCAGACTAAGATACTAAGTGACTGAACAGGGTCGCTTCAAATCAGCCAAGCAGCAGGCCCTTGGGGTAGTAAGTCAGGAAACGTCTGCTAAGGACATAGCTCGCCGCTCGCCACCAACAACCGTGGGTTGTCTTCATTGGTTGTCTTCATTTTCGTTTGCGGCCGGTCGCAGCGGCGCTCGAAAGGCGGAAGCGCCCGCTAACAGGGAGAACGCACAGCCGAACAGGAAGAGTGCAGACATCAGAGCCAAGCTACAAACAAACTGACAACTTCAAACAGGAACTGTGGATAAACTTGGTTGCACCAGCACCCCGTCAAACTCAGCGGCAACAACCTGAAAGGTGTAAAGGTCCTAGTCACCAAGCCATCACAAACAGCTCATGAGCGTGCTCTTTGCTGTGCAAATGGCCCAGGGTTGTTTAAAGTACTCCACTGACAGGAGCAGTTCTATATCAAAGCTATGGGTGGTTTCTCTCCTCGGTGGCCAGTACATTTGTTGACATGGGAGCTGGCTCCAGACAAACTGCGGTTGCGCCTGCTTTTGCACTCTTTGAGCGTCAGTTCCTCACAAGTTATCCAGTTACTAGTAGCTTCTAGCTAATAGTAGTAATGCCGCAATGCCTTGTTACTAGTAGCGATGCCCTTGCTACTAGTAGCTTCTTGTTACTAGTAGTATGGCCAGGAGCTACTAGTAGCGTCCTTGCTCCTAGTAGCGATGCCCTTGTTGCTAGTAGCTTCTAGCTACTAAATGCCCTTGTTACTACCTTTATTGCTCCCCAGACCTTCGGGAGTTGGGCCAATGCTGGTCTCCATGGCCTGAGCACCCACTATGCTAGCCGCTAGCAAGCTTTTGGGTCACGACGGTCACGACACCTTGCATTTTCATAGTGAGACTCCCTTGGCCCAATGAGGTTTGCAGAAGATACTGCACAGACTCTGAGCTCCACCAACATTACGTTTTGGGTCAGTACCTTCTGGGTGAAGAATGGTCAAATGCCGTTTAATCTTGCCTAGAAACTTCCAATTAGATCCGAGCATGGCTAAGCTTGCAAAAATTGGATTCAATCAACTTTGGCATCTGGCTGCTGCGAAGCCACCCACTTCTAGACAGCTCGCCACGAACGAACCTTCGTTGCCAGACTAGCCTTCGCGGAAGTATCACGAACTTCCCGCGTGAAGGTTCTCGTTGTCCTTAAGCCTTGTTTGCTATCATGTTTCTGCTCCAGTCTAGGCTCGTCTGACTGAGGTTTTTGAGGTTTGCTCTTTGATTCCTAAATGTTCCAGTCTGTTTGTGTGCGTGTGTGTTTGGTTAGGTTTCACCATGTTTACATGTGCAATGGCACGCACTATGAATTGACTTCACTCTGATGACATGTTCATCAAACCTGGTAGTACCTGTTTGTTGTTTGATCTTTACATGCGATTGTTTTGCACTTTAGTTATGTACAGTACATTCTTTTGTCGGTAGGCGTCCCATGCTTGCACATTTATGCATTCCAAACTTCATTGAACAATCAAGCCTCATGAGCCTCATCTAACACCACTCCGATCCAAAGTACAATTGTATATATGTATGAAATAAGAACTTATTTATATATGTAGAAACTGGAAACGCACGAAGTCTTCCAGCAAGTAGGTGAACCGACGATCGAACGTCGAAGCACAAGGGCGACCGACTGGGGCCGCGCGTCCGCGCCTTTTCAGCGTGCTGAGCCCGCCCTCTGCGGACGGATCATGTGGTTTCATGAAACAAAGTGATGTACAGCGTACATCTTCACATGGAGGGAGAACTGTACTGCTCAAAAGCTCTGTACCAATGGTGCACATCGTGTTTGATGCACCAACCCTGTGGGTACAGCATTCGGTCAGGTGGTGGATTCACTCCAGCGCAGTACGGACATCGTCGCATGACGAGCAAATTCTTTTCGGTGATCTGCTCCGTCAAGTGGCATGACTCCAAATGCCAGCACTCGCCTCGCTTCGAGGCATAGATCTCTCGGGTGAAGGGACATCGAGCAGCATGGTCTTCCATCTCCGCTTCAAGGTTGCGGAACAGATCTCGGGCAGCCAAACACAGGTTGCGCAGCGCATCCAATTCCTCTCCTTGGAGTGCCAGCGCCGCACGGGCCTCTAGTGCAGCTTTCTTCGACTCTTCAGCCTGACATAGGCTGTGGTCGTGATCTGCCTGAAGCTTGGTGTTCAGCTGCCTCAGTCTTTGTGGGACTACAGCTTCGTCCTTCTGGGTGGAGACATCGTGTCGTGCCGGTGGAAAAAGGGACTTGGTGCAACGGCCCAAAATGAACATGCCGAGGAGTGCCATGACGTGAACAGCAGCTAAAACCAAAATCCAGAACCATAGGCTGTCTTGTTCTTCTGGTGCTTCGGTTGTGGAACATGTATTGGTTTCACCAGTTGCTGCGACCATCATTGACCACCAAACCACCCATTTGAGGACATTCTTCATGCGACCCGTGTCCATGGCATGCTTGCGGTGAGCGACATGGCTGGCTAGGAACACATACGTGGGAGCGGGGTTGTTCTGTGCAAAGTGGACATACTCACAAAGCTCCGTGTTCTCAGGTTCGCCAGAGTCCTCAAGGGCGTCGAAGAACTCCTGAGTGTTCTTGGTGTCAGGGGGCAACTCATTCTCAATCGTGTGTTCATTCTGAGTGGGCTTGTCAAAGTCCGAGGGTTCCTCTGGCCTGTAGTGCTCGGTGGACTCAGCAATGGCCTTGTGGCGCTCTGCTTTGGTCTTGCGCTTGGCCGCGGTGTACGACGGATCCCATGTCAACTTGATCCTGCCATGTCGTAGCCGAGCTGCCAGCAATGCGCGAGCACTTTCCTTGGTGAACCCGTCACCAAGCTGTCTCTCTGAGGAGACCCACCGAAGGGACCCACCAATGTCCTGCATTCTCTCCTTCATCACACGGATCTCGAGGCTGATCCTCTTGTCGATCACTGATGAACTGATGCCCTCACGATGGTACGAGTCGTAGAGAGCTTTCGCATCCGTGATCAGCTGTGGGGTCAACTGAGACTTGACCTTCAGTAGATCTTGGAGAGGTAGGGCAGGATGAAGCAGGTGCTCCCAAAAGCGACATGCGAACTCAGTGGCGTCCGCCGCTTGGCCTCCAGCTTGGGCTTCTGCTCCTAAGGAACTTCGGGCCACCCTGGGTGTTCGGAAGCTGCGCCAGTCAAGGATGTGATACTGGCCTTCCTCGGATGATGTCAGCAAGGCCTTGTTCACCAACATGATCACATAGCCACCTTGGGAATTGCCATCCGGCCTTGAACCAAAACCAGCATCGAAGAACGTGATCATCTGGAGCTGTTGCGGCTCACCGATGTGGTTGTAGATGAGCCCGACATCCTTGTTCTCTTTGCAGAACTTCAGTAGGCGGTTGCACTCATGAAGTGTGTGCACCGTTGCTTTATTGACCTGGCTGGATAGCATGGACGTAGAGCACTGCGAATGCGGTGAAGTTTGCACTGCTGGCCATTGAACGGAACCAAGTAGGCCACGGACCTGAGTGATCTCTCGCTCATTGAGGGCCTCAGTCAAGGCTCTGCCCTTGTTGAAGGTGATGGGGCTGACCTTTCCCATGTAGGCCTCTTGATGAAGCCGGCGGCCACCTTCCTCGGTCTTTGTGAGCTCGCAATGACAGTATTCGAGCTTGTCGAGGTCCTGTTTCCACTCCCGGAAGGAGAAGGTGTCTTTGAGAGTGCGAACGACCTCTTGGTACCGAGGAGAATCCAAGCAGCCACTGCCCAACATGTCGTCCACGTGCATGATGATCATACCGACCAACCGCTCATCACCTAGGCTTTGAACATTTTGATGCACAGGATCTTGGGCGTCATAGTTTGGGCTGTCAGTCTCGAAGGCCAGGAAGCAGCATGGGTCCAATGGATGCTGTCGGAGTCCAGCACGTAGCAGCCTGTCGACTGCTTCCAAGAACCAGCCACGAGGTGCGTCTATCTGACCATAGCATGGTTTGAGCAACAACATTCTTGTGTCTTCATCGGCGCCGAGGAGCTGAAGACATTCTGTTGGCAGTTTGACCCATAGTTTTCGGCTTTGTGTCCGACCCTGGAGGAAGGCCGTGGAGACGTCAAGCGTCCACGTTGACCAACCCATGTTGGCTGCCAGAGACAGAATGTAGCTTCGGCTCAACCTGGTGGTTGTCGGCGATGAGGTGACGATCTGGCCTGCCAAGGCATCGGGGTCGTTGTAGCCTCTGACTATCAATCGGGCCTTCGCCCTTGGTGAGCCGTCAGGATTCTTGGACCATTTCAGGATCATCCTCGCTGTCA